CATAACTTACCGAATGACACTTAATGACAACAGTCATAAACATTCATAAAGACTCCTTCATGTTCATGACAGGTGTTATGTCATGTTTATGAAAGTGTCATGTCAGTGTCAAGGCACACCCCTTCAAATAAAGTGTTATCAAATTTTTCAGAGGCGTGAGGGTGTCCACCTGAAAGGATGCGGCGAGACACTGAACACGGCGCATGCGATGTGTAGATGTGTAGAAGCGAGCCGTCATAGCCACTGAGTCTAGATCTATTTCCAGGAAGGAAATCTTCTGACTGGGCTGAAGTGAGCTAAAGAGCTGCAGTTGACAAAGAGGCCCAATGTGTTCAGATTGTCCAGGAAAACTGTACGATGAGACAGTAACTTCGTCTGTGTCGTCTAAATAGTTCAAAATTCGCAGCCCCTGACTCTGCAGGGGGGCGAGCGCCGTATCCATGCACTTCGTGAACGTACGGGGTGCCAAGGTTAGGCCGAACGGGAGGACGGTGTATTGATAAACCTGGCCGTCGAAGGCGAAACGTAGAAAAGGCCTGTGACTGGGATTTATCTGGATCTGAAAAGAGGCATCTTTCAGATCAAGAGAGATGAACCAGTCCCCCTGGCGTACATGTGCGAGGAGTTCCTTGACTGTAAGCATTTCGAATGGTCTCCTCATGAGCGCTTTGTTCAAAAATCTGAGATCTAAGATTGGTCTGAGGCCGCCGTCTTTCTTGGGGACAAGAAAATAACGGCCGTAAAACCCTGAATCACTCATAGAAGGTGGAACTCTCTCTATAGCCCTTTTGGGGCCGTTTACACCTGGCCACTTCATGCGTTTTCCGATCGTGAAAAGACCAGGTGTAAATGCCCCCCGAAACGCATTTGAGACAGATTTGAATCCGATCGCTCAAACCACTTCAGGAGGTGGTCTGGGCCGCATTCCAGACGAAACTGGACTTGTGTAAATGCATCTGGTTGTTGAAACCACATATGTAAATTTTACTCCTCCAAAAAATGCTATAAACCAAACGTGTGAGAGCGCATTATAGGCTATATGTCATGTTATTTTAGTCAGATATGACGACGTTACTGCGACACGCATCACCTCAGATGAGCAACTGAACGCCTATCAAGCCATAAAGCCATTTCATTGTTAATATATACGTCATATTCTTTTCTTTCTTTCTCGCAATAAACTTCAATCAATCAATAAATCAACGTTTGTTTTGAAACACAGTTTGTTGTTTATTTTCAATACAATGTTCACGGTTACATCATTGATAATACAGTACTAACCAAGTCTGCCACGGGACACATTATCCTGCCATAGCACAGTTCCATGTGGAGACTGAAAAAATCCTTCAAGTCATTCCGATCAGCTATCGTTATGGCAGCTCGGGTGGAACCTTTATTGTACTGTCTATGGGTGGAACGGGCCCTGGACATCCGTGTTGATTCTGTGGGGATAAAGTTTTGTGTCGTCTTGTTAATTAAACGTCGATTAGCTCCGTGTATATGTCTATGGATTAGCTCCAGCTGGCAGCTGCAACAACATTATCTCTCTTTCGCTCGCGGCGCACAGAACCAAAGAGATTCGCGAACCCCCCTAGGGTTCTGGCGGCGAAATGCACCGCGAAGCACCACAACCTCACGCAGAAGTATAAAACGGCCACGACGCCGTAGTAGTGACGACGTAGCTACGCCGTGGAGTTGACGCAGAAGCATAATGAGGCCTTAAGAGATGCCTTCTCGACGTGCGTAGAGCCCCGCTGAATTGATGAAAATCAGAAAACAGCGGGAAACTCGCCTATTTATAGACTCAATGAGAGCGTGTCAGCTTCTCATTGGCCGCGAGTTCAACTGAGTTTCCTCATAGGCTGTAGCAGTTCTCCCTGAGCGAACCAATGAGCTGCTAGCTTGCCCGCTCATGGTCTGCTGCAGTTGAACTGCATTGACAATGGATACAAAATTATAGGATAATTTTTTGCCCTTAACTTCTCAGAAAAGATTAATCTTTCCCATAGCGTAAGCTAGCTTACGCAATATGAGAGAACCTCTCGTAAAAGAACTGACGCTTCATCTTTTGTGTGTACAATAAACTGTATTAAACTCATCAGTATACTGTATGTTTGATCATCATTCGGACCTGGTCCGAAACAGCAGACTTGTAGGCAATTATTAATAAATAATGGATACATACAAGCAATGACAAATATGTTATAATAACCGTAATTAAACTTCTAAACTATACCTGTTCCACTCTGACGCTGTAGGCATTATTGTCCGACTCGAAATGAACACTGTTACTGAGAGTTTCTGATATTATCATCATTCCGTGAGGTGATATTGTCCTCTGAGACTGAGCGCGAGCTCATGAAGCTCCGCCCCCTGTGCCGGCAGCAGCAGCTTATTTGCATTTAAAGGGCATACACTAAAAAAATACACGTTTTTCTGAGCCCCAAAAAATTACAATTTAAACATGCTGTAAAAAAAATGATCTGTTTGGTATTTTGAGCAGAAACTTCACATACACATTCTGGGGACATCAGAGGCTTATTATACATCTTGTGAAAAGGGGGAATAATACCAGAGCTTTAATATAATAATTTATATTTTTGCCTGGCTAAAAGTGGCATACACCTCCGACTTCCAGTTATTAGTGGCATTACTTACAATATATAATTAATAACATATGTACAATTTAATTACATAAGAGAATGGAAAAAATATCACTAGTGTAATACCATTTTATTATGGTATTAACAGCAATTAAACACATACAGGTTTGACCAACATATACATTCCAAGGGTAAGGAAACTAAATTCCTTGTAATAAAATAAAGAAACAAAAAACAGGGGGGGATGTGCAAAGAGACCTCACTAAAAGGAATTCCTGGAATGTCCAATGAAAAGACTACAAAAAAGTTAAAGTAATAGGAACACTTAAAGGTGCTGTATGTGCTTTAAAGGTGCTGTATTTTCACTGAACTAAAGACAAAGATACCATAATATGTTTGCAGAGATTTAGGACACATGCTAAGGTAAAAAAAAACAAAAAAAACAATGCTACAACCAGTTGTTCTACTTTGAGATGTGCATTCCATGTCACAATATGTTTTTGTCAGTTTGATCCTGTCCCATGCCAATTTACCCAATATTATTTTCACACCCTAGGTTGCAATTTGGTGGACAGTGTATTACAACAACGGAAGCCAGAAAACAAATTAGGTCAGAGCGTACAGATTATCCCTGACCTAAAAAGCCTTGGCATCCACCTAAAATGCTCTATGACAAGAGGCATAATAAAACATGGATAAATCAACTCATCAACTTATTGTAAGGCTTGTCGCCTTCCATCTTCAATTGCACTCACTCCTGTTGTGCGAGCGTGGGGTCTGAGGAGGAGGGGCGGTTTTGAATTGCAGTACCCATTTCAACCACTAGTGGTCAATATTACATACTGTACCTTTAAAGAGGTACTTTTTATTGTTACAGTCATAAAAACAACTGGAAAAAAATATTTTCTAAATTTTAATATAAAATAAATTATCTGCAAGAAGGTTTGGCAAGGAGGATTATTGTAAAATAGTTCTTGTTTTATGAGCCTGCCATTTTTGAATAATTTTAACATTTAGTTTCACAGGGTGTATGTAGACAATTGAGTAGCATGTGCTACTTTATCTTACTTTATCTTAGCTTAGAACACATAACACATTACAGCAGAGTTAAATGAATAGAATTTTAGGGAGGATACATTTATGATAAATAATTGTTTAACGAGAAAGTTAACCAAAAGAAAAATTTAAATTCTGTCATTTACTCACCGTCATGCTTCAGAACACATGGGAAGATAATGTATTCATTGGATGTATCATAATTTCTGTCCATCTACTGACAGTCCACACAACCAAAACAGACAGAGCCAGCATTTGAATGGACCAACTTCCAATACCCATAAGAAAAAGGACATTGACTCAATATTTACGCCATTTTCCAACTGTAGGCTAATATAGTATTTTTAATATATGTCCCTATGTTATATTAGACACTTTTTGATTCTTTAGTTATGTTAGGGTAACTTCAAATGCTGATTTCCAAAAGATGATCCATCACAGCCTCATCATCTTCAAATACCCATCTATCTTGGTATCAAAAGAATCCTCTTTTCATTTTGTAATCGATGGTGTAAAGAATGTTATGATATACAGTAAATGCATAATCACATTTGTACCATACCTTTGTGTAAAAACTGCACAAATTCTCCATGCCACCATAAACCAAATGAACTCATAGGGCCTTTGAGCAAAGATCTGAACTAATCAGAGAACTGTCAATCTCTTTTGCGAGACTACGTTTCCTGTCTTATTCCGGGAACTTTATCTTTAAGTTAACTTAGTTGGACCACCCCAAAGAACACAAACAAACATCAAGTCTCTCCCGCATCTGGACTTGTTCAGCAAACGAAGTCAATGCAACCCGTTCGCAGCCTTTATATGTGTTTCTAACTTATTATGCCCCTTTGAAGGAGACCCTGATTAGGTTGTAGTTAACTGATAACTGTAAACACAGTAACAGCTCATATTAGCCAGCTAAACTTTTACTACCCTGTTAGAAAAAATATATAGCAGCATAGTTTCATGTGGTTCTTCTCCCTCGCTGTATTATGGGTTTGCTACGTGGGGAGAAATGTGCTGCTGGTTACGTTTGTGAGACAATCAGCTGATTACTATTATTATATTCAATTATATATTAAAACCCTTGATCCTCACCTAACTATGGCTTTGTAAACTTTATCCATGATGTGGTTTATAATGGACTGTGATACAGAAACAGTGACAATGTTACACTCTCTTGGCTTACTCTGGCTATTATCTGCTGTCTCAGCCGACGAGATGTTTTAGCAACCGTAGCTTCTTCGAAAGGGAGGGGTGGGCAGTGGGCTGAGCCCTGAGTGCAAACCTGGTGCAAACTCGCAACTGAACCGCTAGATGTCGCTAAAAATCCCACACTGCACCTTTAACAGATTATATTTCATCTGTATTATTTAAAGTCCATTAAGATTCAAAATAGTGATTAATAGCACTGCAAGCACAGCAATAATCAGTGCAAGTTTGGATTCAAAGTCGAGAAGAAAAAAAAAGGTTGTGTAGTTAAAGTGTAGAACATCTAGGCCCACGGTTTAGTGAAGTCAGACATAATAGAGACAGATTAAAAAATGGATTGATGGTGCTGGGTTAAAAATATCTTTTTCTCAGATTGATGTATTTGATGTAATATGAAGCAAAGCACATTCCAGATGAGTGAGATAATTTTAACATTTTTAATATGTTTTCTATAAGAATGTTTTAAAAAAAAATGTATATCATGGAGTCTTATTTTCTTAAGTGTCTGTTAGTATCAGTTTGAGGTTTATCCACCACGGAACAGGTTGTTTAATCTGTCCAGCTTTTTGCAGTTCTCCATGGTCATGAGCTCAGCCTTTCGCTGTAGTCTGTCATCTCTGTAGACCTTAGCAGCATACAGCAGGTCGGTTTCTGAAAGGGATGACATGGTGACAAACATAATTTTATTAGGACCTCAAAGCATTTCCCTAGAACCAAACAAAGCATTTAAAACCATAATGGAAAAATAAAATGGTAAAAAAAAGACACAAACTTGTCTGTCTTTCCTTCCAGCAGTTGTTGCGCACATTAGAAACATAATCCTCCTCCACATTCTTCTCAATCTTTAGCAAAGCTGAGCCCTTATATTCTGATTTGAAATCTCTGGTGACAAAATAGTCCACATGCAGGTTCTCTGTTTGTCTCTTAACAGTCTGTCCTGTGGACCTAGATGCGAAGGAGCAGATATTACAACCAAATTTTAAGGAACAGTATGAAAAATTAGAGTTTAAGGGTACAAGTTTATAAAGTGCAAGAACCATAATATATTTATTCAGATTGTCTTTCTCAATATTAGGGTAACATGGGGTAAAATGGATTCAAACTCCTCATATTCCGGGAAGGGCCCGATATTGTGCATCCTATTGTGTTATTGTTAAAGGAACACTCCGACTTTTTGGGACTTTAGCCTATTCATCTTATCCCCCAGAGTTAGATAAGTCCATACATACCTTTTTCATCGCCGTGCGTGCTATAAGTCTGTTTGACGCATCCACCGCTAGCCTAGCTTAGCACAAAGAATGGATGTGAATGGTTGCAGCTTTCATACTAATCCAAATGAGTGGCAAAATAACGCAAACGTTTTCCTATTTACATGTTGTGATTTGTATAGTCACAGAGTGTACAAATAACAAAGTCAAATGAGACACAGACATCTTTTAACCGTATAAAACCTGGGAACTATTCTCTGAAGGCGAAGCACTGCTACTTTGACGGAGTAATAACCGCATCACCTGAGACACGCCGTGGTGAGGAGCGGAGAGTTCGCTCAGTGTTTGGGTAACAGAGTCAGCAATTTATAAATAGTAAAAGCGTAGTTTACAGTCATGGGTTTTCGCTCTATTGTAAATCGCTGCGACAGTAAACAGGGGAGGTAATACCATGTTTCACAGAATTCCAACTAAAAACGCTGACTGGATGAAGAAATGGCTTACTTACTTACTCTGGATATTGATCCAAACACACCTAAATAGAATATCAAGGGACATTATGTTTGCTCGGTACATTTCAATGAGGACGACTATTTTGAAAAAATGGAATTTGCCACACGGACCATAATGTGCTGAAGGATACGGCCATCCCATCTGTAGCACAGACAGGACAAGTGGATCACCTGCGGCTGAGGTAAGTGTTCCGTTATGTTTTTAGATGACCTACTGTAACAGTGCCATTAGCCAGATCTGATGTAACATTAGTGACACTATTATATGATTAGGGTATGAATATGTTTTTATCTTGATGCGGCGCGGACGCGCTTGGAAAAAAACGAGCACGTTGAACTTGCACCCTGCGCGCCTAGTAGCCTAAATTTGAAATAACCATGGAAATAACGAACTTGAGCGTGCAAAAGGGTACGATAGGCTGTGAGTTCATTGTGCAAAAACAATTTGTGCTATTACTTTCCCCTTATTCTATCCTATAGTAATGCAATTATACTGTATATTATATGCTGTTGAATACATTTGGTCCAGCTAATAAATTGCATTTAAAATATATTGATTCCTGTAATATTAATTATTTATTCATGTTCTGTGATATTTATAAATCTGGATGCGTTTTTGGTTGGAATTCAATGAAACATGGTACTATATTACCTGGTCTCCCCTGTTTATTGTCACAGCTCATTCAATAAAGCAAACACCCATGATAAACTATGCTTTTCTATCAAACGTTAGTAATTGCTGACTCTTTACTCCAACACTGAGCGAACTCTCTGCTCCTCGTCACGGTGTGTCTCAGGTGATGGTTATCACTCTGCCCAAGTAGCAGTGCTTCGCCTTCAGAAAATAGTATTTATTCGGTTAAAAGATGTCTGTGTCTCATATGGCCTTGATATTTGTACACTCTGTGACTATACAAACCACAACATGTAAATAGGAAAACGTTTGCGTTATTTAGTCACTCATTTGGATTAGTATGAAAGCTGCAACCATTCACATCCAGTCTTTGTGCTAAGCTAGGCTAGCAGTGGATGCGTCAAACAGACTTATAGCACGCACGGAGATGAAAAAGGTATGTATGGACTTATCTAACTCTGGGGGATAAGGTGAATAGGCTAAAGTCCCAAAAAGTCGGAGTGTTCCTTTAAGCCCCACTAAAGGCATAAAAAAAAAAAAACATTGGAAAGCACCATAAAGTTTTCTCACTATATTACAAGACTTCTAAAGTAATTCAATAGCATTATATGAGGTAAAAATGAATATTTAAGTTAAAGTTAATGGAAACTCATCTCTCCTCAGTAATTCTCCATATAGTATTCCAGCCCGTTCTCATCCTTTAACGTCATATAGAACGCTATATGACAAAACGGCGCTATACTACGCACATGGCACCCTTTATCGTTAATATAACACGCTCTGTGAGGGCTAAGTTTAGGTGTGGGGTAGGGTGTGCGTGTCATATTCACGCTAAAGGATTTATAACGTCTTGGGTTCGCGTGTTATATTAACGATAACGGGTGCTATGTGCGTAGTATAGCGCCGTTTTGTCATATAGCGTTCTATATGACGTTAAAGGATGAGAATGCGTTGAGTATTCACACGGTTACAACAGTAACACGACAATACTCTCTTCAAGATCAATGTTCCCATTATTATACTTTGTAGATGAAGGTTTATGGTTTGCATAAAATGACTTTATCTTGCTTGAGTTTATTGCGCTTTCTATATTCCTTTATCCGAGTAGAGAGCGCTTTAAATTGTTCTTCAAGCGCACTGTAACTGAAATCTAAAACTGTTAAAAGAAAAGGCTCAATAAACTGTTGCATAGATAGAATACACTAAGCATAGATAGATATAAACTCTTCGCTTTGTGCTTTGAACTTTTCAATGCAAAGCGCTGCATGCTGTGACTTTGCATTGCTTCAAGTGCATCATTCTGCCCCCTGGGGAAATGGGCCTCCTACCACAGCTGGAAAAATCCTAAAGGGAAACACTCATATTGTATATGTTACACACAAACAGTTGTGAAATTTTGCAGAAAGAAAGTGGAGGGTTCAAGCTTCAATATGACAAAGTCTGATAAGAGTCAGCCTTTTGAACTTTCTAGGACTGCAAAATGTTCAAAAAAATGTAAGACATTCCATTAATTGCATGAATGCAACCCAAAATATATAACCCCATTTATAAAGAGTTATTACATACTGTCTGAAGTACAGTTTATACAGTGTTGTCAGGCATGTATCATAACAAGGCATTATTGCACATGATCTAAAGCATAGATTGTACTGTAGTATGAGGCATGCATTGTAAGGTATAATGACATACGGTCTGGAGTAAAGGCTATAAGGAGGTGTGGACACCATCATCTGGCTGAGGACTGAGACCAAGACCAGCACAACTATGGGCATCAGCTGAATAAACATTGAGTACCCACCCTAAAGAATAGACACCGGCATCAGTCATTATCTGTGTTACTTCAAAACAAGAACAACAGAATGAAACATTCAAATATGGCTGGTTAAAAATTTTGATTTTGATATTTATTCGAACAATTCTGATATTGAATCTTAAAACACCATGGTCAATATTTAACTTTATGGCTATTATCAGTGACGGTGTAAAAACGTATTTCTAAAACACTTTCTGTCTTGCAGATATCAAATTTGTACTACTGAGCTAACTAATTTTCATGATGTAACAAATAAGGTTATCTTAATAATTTTTCTTCATCATTTCAGAGCAGCAGTGAATCCCCAGTGCTATTATAACATATTTTTCCTCAAGTTGTGAAACAAACAAAACTGCATGTTTGTTTATTTTATACAAAAAATACATAAACACACAATGTGACGTTGAATTAAGAGTTCAACATTTTTTACTGGTTTGAATCAGCCTGAAACACTTCCCTGTGAGATTTACATCTTAATCAGAGCACAAAAAAAGCTTGTGAAAAGGAATTGTATTGAATTGGGAAATCTGTATAACCCAGCCCTTCATGCTTGAACACCTAATAATAATTATAAAATATCAGGTCATTAGTAGGTCTTACAATTAGGTAAATACAGCCTCAGATGAACAACATTACATGAACAAAAACTATGCCAAATTTGAGAAGCCATGTGTAAAAAAAATCCTTGATCAATTAAAAATCCATCTCCATGTGACCATCTCAATAAAAGCAGAATTTATTCCAGTGTGTGTTAACACAATGTCAAGGAGGAAAGACATCAGAAATTACCTCAGAGAAGCAATTGTTGCTGCCCAATCTGGGAAGGGTTAACCCCTCTGGGGTCTAAGGTGTTTTTGGGGTCCTTGAGAGGTTTCTGACATGCCCTGACATTTGTGCTTCAGTTGCTTATAAACATATTAATGGCAGAGGTGAAATTACACTCTATTTAGCACAAACAGGGCTATACCCTACAATGTAAATACCATGTATGTACATGTTTGTATTTTTGAGAGAATATTGTTTATGCATGGTTATTGAAAAAAAAAAACTAAAAATGAAAGTCTGAAATAAGGCAACAAAACAAATACTAGATATGTGTCCACAAGACAGATGTGTTTTGTTTTAGATTGTAATTCAAAAGATTGTTTTAAATTGTAAAAAACATTTTTTTTTTTGCTTGGAATGGCAATATGTGTGGGGGCGTGAATGGCCCAACCCCCTCATGAATAATTAGGTGGTTCTCACCTGAGAAGACAAAGACCCGCATAATAATGAGCCTTTCATTAAGGTGTGTCACACAAGAAAAAAAGCGAGGACAATATATCTAAAGCACATTTTTTTGTCATACCTGCCATTCTATAGAATTGGTTTAAAGTTAGAGTAGGAAATATCATGAAAAGAAAAATGTCTTTCCATAAATCTCCTATAAAGTAGGCTATTATTTTATTTTTTAAAAGTAGGCCAATAGATTTTATAATACATATTTCAAAGTTAAGGATTCATTATTTTGATATAGCCAAGCTTCCATTTGGAACAGACACTATAACAGTTGATTAGTTTATTTTTGACAAAACATTCTATTGAGAATGAGGAGTTGACATCATTGTACAGAGCCCCTCCCCTTTCCGCCATGTTGGTTGGATTCCCACGGCAAAACAGTATTGTTTACGTGTGTTTTTAGCTCGGTAGTAGAGGAGGTTCTCGCAATTCCGCACTGTTTTACCATGCCTGAAAGTCACTGCTGCGTTAAAAACTACTCCAGTACCTCACACGAGACATATGGAAAACATAGGAACAACGGAATACTGTTTTTTAGGTTACCGAAATGGACAGAGCATCAGGGAGAGTCTCTGACCTGACGAGGAGACGCCGGATTGCTTGGTTTGATTTATTTGCTTTTTTTTTTTTTTTTTTGCTTGGTATTGCTTGGATTGCTTTAGCCTTTAGTATACGATTTTCACTGTTTGGTGTGCCTTAACGAACATATGCAAAAGTGTTGTTTGTGTGCCTTGTTCATTACTTTTTTATTTCATTGAAATAAATGTTGGAAACAACTTGATATGGCTTAACAATATTTATTGAGAACTGAAAAAAAAGTCTTTATCTTTAGGTCATGTCCCAAAAATATACAAGCTGGCTGTAATAAAACCGCTCATTAAGAAACCGCAATTAGATCCAAATAACTTGGCAAATTACAGACCCATTTCAAATCTTCCATTTATGTCCAAAATACTTGAAAAAGTAGTGTCCGCTCAATTGTGCTCTTTTTTGCAAGAAAATGATATCTATGAAAAATTCCAGTCAGGATTCAGACCGCATCATAGTACAGAAACTGTGCTAGTTAAAATTACAAATGATTTACTTTTAGCTTCTGACCAAGGCTGTATCTCAATACTAGTCCTACTTGATCTTAGCGCTGCGTTCGACACTATAGATCATATAATACTCTTGGATCGACTACAAAACTTCACCGGTGTCCAGGGACAGGCATTAAGCTGGTTTAGATCGTACTTATCGGACCGTTCTCATTTTGTCTGTTTAAATGGGAAAAAATCAAAGATAACGTCAGTAGACTATGGAGTACCGCAAGGATCAGTTTTAGGCCCTCTGCTATTCTCAATATATATGCTGCCACTTGGTAATATTATAAGAAAACATGGAATTAATTTCCACTGTTACGCTGACGACACTCAATTATATATTTCATCACGACCAGATGAAAACACTAACTCATCTAAAATGACAGAGTGTCTCAAAGATATAAAATGCTGGATGACGCGTAATTTCCTGCTATTAAATTCAGATAAAACGGAGGTATTACTTATTGGTCCAAAAAACTACTCACAAAACCTCTCACAATACAACTTTAATATAGACGGATGTCCTGTTACCTTATCCACAACAGTAAAAGACCTGGGTGTTATACTAGACCGCAACTTGTCGTTCGAAAATCATATTTCATATGTTACAAGAACAGCCTTTTTCCACCTTAGAAACATTGCTAAGCTACGTAACATGCTATCTATTTCTGATGCAGAAAAATTAGTTCACGCATTCATGACCTCGAGACTAGATTACTGTAATGCTTTATTAGCTGGTTGTCCTGCATCCTCAATAAACAAGCTACAGTTAGTACAAAATGCAGCTGCTAGAGTTCTTACTAGGTCAAGAAAATATGATCATATAACACCGATTTTATCATCTCTACACTGGTTACCTATTAAGTTCCGCATCAACTACAAAATACTACTACTGACCTATAAAGCCCTAAATGGTTTAGCACCTATGTACTTAACGGACCTTCTTTCGCCCTACAATCCACCGCGTTCCTTAAGATCACTAAATTCAAGGCTTCTGGTCATTCCTAGGATATCGAAGTCCAGTAAAGGAGGGAGGGCGTTCTCGCATTTAGCTCCAAAACTCTGGAATGGCCTTCCCGATACGGTCCGAGCCTCTGACTCGCTGACACAGTTCAAAACTAGATTAAAGACGCATCTCTTTAGTCAAGCATTCACATAATGCTTACCTTCTAGTCCTCTGTTATGCCATACGGAACCGTTTGCCACTGAAACTGCTTAACGCACCAGTGGGGCTCGACAGCCTTTTAGACAAACGGGTCGGCGCGTATGGTTGGGTTGCGGAGAGTTCGGGTTACGGAGAGTTTGTGAGTTATAACGGAAATTATTATGAACATCAGCTATGCTAATTATTTCCCATCTGCCTTTCTGCTGTTATCTCGGGACGCTTGTCCCGAGAAAAATGGCGTTCGTCAGGTCCAGTTTTGTGTCCAGCCTCTCACGGGGATTTCGGATGCCCCAACGCCTGTGATGAGACGACTCAACGCCTGTGATGAGACGACTCAACGCCTGCGATATGTTATGGCGCCGTTTGATTCATAAACAATATTTATATTTAATATTTATATTTAAACAATATGAATGTAAGCCAGAGGAGAACTGGCCCCGACTGAGCCTGGGTTCTCCCAAGGTTTTTTCTCCATCCAATCTGATGGAGTTTTGGTTCCTTGCCACTGTCGCCTTGCTTTTGGCTTGCTTTGAGCTTGCTCAGTTGGGGTTATTTATTTAGTGTTTAGCAATGTTGTTGATCTGTGTTGTGCTACTTACATGTTATCACTGTGAAGCTGCTTTGATACAATCTGTATTGTGAAAAGCGCTATATAAATAAATGTGACTTGACTTGACTTGACTTGAAATATATAGGCTACATATATATTTGGACAACATAAGTTTCATGAACAACATAAGTAATAATAATAAAATAATAAAATTACTGTTATTAGTGCAAAAGAACAAATATATCGATGCTGCTTCTCCAAATACAGTCTTCTTACAGTCTACAGTCTCTCACACTTTGTGTGAGTTTGTTCCTGTAAGGTCCCTTTTCTTTCGCCTTATCTTTTTGCATTGCTTTACTCTCTTCCTTTTTTCTCGTATTCTTAGATCCGTCTCTGTCCTGCCAAAATAATAAATGCGTGAAAATTTAAGAGCTCTGGAAAGTTTAGTCGCGTCTATGGGTTCTAAAGGCGTTGCCGCTGGTAACCGTTAGCGTCTCCTACCATCATGGCCGACCAGCTCAGACCCCGCCCAAATCGGCACGTGACTCCTCATTCTCAATATATTTAACATATGCGCAGAAACTGTCTAACAAAAGCTTATTTGATGTCTATTTTAGAGTAAAAACTTTATAATCTATTATTAACTAGTATAATCTATATAAAACTAGTCAACAAAATGTTGGCATTACAGACACTATTCTATATCATGATTAGAACAAATCTCAGTAGGCTATAGGGGTTGAACGACTTCAGATTTTTTGAAGTCGACTGTTATGACATCAAAGTCGAGTCGACGTCGACTAGTCGCTGACGTCATTCATAAAAACACAAGAGATGTGACAGATTTGCAACATGCCACAATTTGCAATTAATTAACAGCAAATTATACAGACGCTGATAGCTCGTAATGG